TTTAGGTATTAATTTGTATATATTTTGTTATATGAATATCTGAACATACAAAACATCAAAAGAACAGGGTATCTGCTTGTAAACAAAAACATTTTATTCTAGCTTCATGCATTCTTTTTTTTATAAACACTAGGCGTAAGTTTTATAAATTAAAAAGATAAAGAAACAAACAACATTTTGAACAAAAAGCTGAAAAAAGACTATTAATTGGATTCAGAATGATAATCAAAACGTAGATGGAGTCGATCAACACCCCACAGCTTGAGAGTCATTATTACCTCTTCATTGGTCTACATTTTAGTCCATAACGTTACACAGTTTTGATGCTGTTTTATGTCTGATTGTGTTAGATTACACGTGGAAGCATCTGTTGTTTCGGTTTCTTCTTTACTTGTGTTTTTTGGGGGGGGAAATTCTGTGCAGAAGATGTGTAATAGCACCCCCTACCGTAACAATGAAAACACGGATTCTCTTAAGTATAAGTCAAGTATACTTAAATGTAATTTTAAGTATATTTCTGAGAAGTACATAAAGCCCATGTCTGAGAAGTACATAAAAAGTAGACTGAAAGTATACTTTCCTTTTTTTTAGTTTAAAAGACGTATACTAATAGCACACTTGAATAAACTTCTTTTTCGTAAGGGTAGTTAGTAAGTATTTTTGTTCTTGGCATGTATCTAATTCCTTGTTCAGTATTCAAAATTAAGCCTGTGGCATTCTAATGGATCTAGTTGTTTTGAGTCATGTTTTCCCTTGTATTTCGAGGTGTTATTTTCCTGGTTCCCTGATTGCCTTTTTTGTCTGCTCTTAACTAATTTGCTGTAATCCTAATGCATGTAAAACATTTTTTAAGAGACACATTATTTGAATAACTATTCTGTCTGCCTTCTGGCAGCACTGCAATTGGAGTGCATGTAAGATAATCAAAGAAAGTAGTGCTCACCTGTTCTTTTTGCATGTTTTTTTTTCAGCATCATTTTCCTCCCGTTATGATGTGGGAGTGAAGTTGGGACAGGGAGGCTTTGGTACTGTGTATGAGGCAACTCGCAGATCTAATGGCCAGAAGGTAAACCACTCTTGCTTTATTAACTAAACATTTTGTTTCATTTATTTTTGTCTTTGTTTTGTTCTCATTTCTGTTCCATATTTTTTTTTTATTTTTTTGTGAAATTTTAACATATAGACATTGCAGATTATTTTGATCAAACATGTTTAAAACTATTTGTCTTTTTGCAGGTTGCTATCAAATTTCTACCTAAGAAGCCCTGGAACATTTTTATTAATGTGGTAAGTTGGCAAGACAAAATGTTAATATATATATTTAGGGTGCGTTCACACTTGTAGTTCGGTTCTCTTGGTTCTTTTGATCCAGACCAAAAAAGAAAACGATACATTTGGTCCTGGTCCACTGAGCGTTCACACTGGCATTTTTGACAGCGAACCTAAAGATACATTCACAAGCTTATTGGCCGGATTGAATGATATATATATTTCGCGACGGAACTCACTGAACACCCCAAACAAAAGCTGTGTTCGACTTAAAGCGGCTCTGCGCAGACCTATCTGTGTATGACATCACAGTACCCATTCACCAATCGGTCTGCTCAGTGCCACTTTAAGTCGAACACACCTAATGCTGTCTGCTGGACTAAGCGCGCTCATTGCTGCGTGTACTTTTGATTTTATTTTCACCACCTGCGAACTCACGAAGAGCTCATACCTCCTCTTTACCTCCTCGTTGCTCCACATTTGCCCTCTGCTCATTTTGTTTTGGATACACCACTCATTCCGCGTCGTCAAATCATGTCGCATAGCGTCGCATCTCGTCATTACTTCCTGTTTTTGGTTCGTTTAAAAGTATTTGGTCCGTGTTGTGTTCATATGTCATTCGAACCGCACCAGAGTTCGTTTGGAAGCGGACCGAGACCCATCTTTTTAGCAGTCTCGGTCCGCTTGTTTGGTGCACACCAGGGTTCGGATGGAAACGTTCACACTTACTCAAACGAACCACACTAACAGAGCAATCGCACCAGTTTTAATCGAACCAAACATTACAAGTGTGAACACACCCTACATTCAATACACATTTGGGTTCAAAAGTCTGTGAGTAAAAAGTAAGAATAAATAGTAAAAAGCAGAAGCATTTTCAATAGTGTTCTCAGACTTGTAGACTCTGCTGTATCTCAATATAAATATTACACATGGAAGTGAAAGTTCAAAGCTAACTCTTTGTCAAATTTGTTTCTCTAGCCTGGATCTACACAACCTCTACTGTCAGAAGTGGCTATGAATGTGATGGTGTGCACACCTCCAAAAAGCCCCCACATCGTACAAATAATCGAGTGGTTTGATCAACCACATCAGTTCATCATAGTTATGGAATATCTGCATCTGTGTGAGACCTTGCTGGCATTTACCATGCGCCATGGAAGTCGCCTAGATGAATCCGTGGCACGTGGCTTAATGCGGCAAGCGGTGCTTGCAGCCAAACACTGCATTGAACGGGGCATCTTCCACAATGACATCAAGACGGACAACATGCTGGTCAACACAGAGACGCTGCAGCTCAAATTACTAGACTTTGGCTGTAGTGAGCGTATTAACACCTCTTGCTCTAAAGGTGAGTTGACTTAAAGGTCACATATTGTACACCTATCTGGAGTTTTATTTTAGGTTTTGATGTCCTTAAGAAGGCTGGAACAATAATGTAGCTGTAAAAATAGTTGCCTGCTGAAATTGAAATGTATATACATCTTCATCATGACTAGATAGACACGGTGAGTATGTCTTTACTATACACGTTAGATGTGATCCACCTCATAGTAACAATCCTGTCAGATTGTCCATCCTTTGAGTATAACGTGTAACGTTACAGGTCGGCCGATCTGGTTTCGTGGTTAAAGTTAACCTTTTCGGCATGTTTCCGCAATGTTGTCTGGGGGTTTGGCAAAAGGAGAGTGGGACTGTGGGTGGTGCTCGGGGTGGTGACTGAAGGCGGTGACTGTGTAGGTCAACTTTTTACGGAAGTCACAACGATTCGTGAAAAAAGCCAGGAAATTTCAGTTTTGACAATATGGGACCTTTAATGGCATATGCCAGATATTGTACATGATCCAAAGCTTATTTTTCCCACATTAGCATACTGTGATTGAGTGGCATTATAGTTTCTATAGATTTTCTATTATATTATCTCAAAGTAGACTAATGGCTCACACAAGACTTTAGCAAATGAAATGACAGAACTCTGTTAATCTCTTGCTTTTATTTCAGATTATGAATGGGCAGTCGGATCAACAGTCTGGTCTTTGGCTATGGTGCTTTTGGAGATAGTGAGCGGAGACCAGCCCATAAGTGTTTTTCTCTCCAAAGCACGTGATCCTTTGATTCCAAATTTCTCCACTGGTGAGACAACATCACATAATGACAATAACACTGTTAAACGCACACACATAAAGCCATGGCACAATATCAGGGTATTCTCAACTACTAAATATAAAAGGGAAAACTGATAGACAGAACACCTAAAAATGGAAATCTGCAGTACTAATGAGCAAATTGTAACATACAGGATACAGTCTTTGTTCAAAAATTGAATACAGTACTAAATACTGCGTTTTTCAGAAGCTATTTTCATACATGACAGCATTCACGTGCTATGCTGTCATAAAGAGCATACATGACTAACCAGCTTTGTCCTCTTTGAAAACTTGTACAGAATTCCACAATCTGATAGAGCAGTGTCTGGTCAGGCAAACCAAGAGACCAACGTTAGAGCAGATTTTAGAACATCAGTGGTTTAAGCAGGACTGAAGGAAGGCAGAGGCTCAGGAGGCAAGTAGTGTAACAGTTTGAGGGAAGGCAGATAATAGAAAACTATATTAGACATTAGAAGTCCTTCTCATGAAAGAGCAAGTATAATTCACGTTTGATTCTTAATTAGTGTGACAAAATTATTTATTTATATTTTTTAGTACAAGGTACTTATAGGACATTTCTAAAAACAGCTAGAATTTTCAATTCAGTGATTAATTTAACAGATAATCCCAACCAATTCTCCTGTAAGAAAAAGAAGAACATGAGCCATTTATCTGTAGAAGATAGCTAGCAGATGGCACTTTAGAGCAGAATTTCACCTTTCTTGACTACCAAAGAAAACAAAACTGTGGCATTGAATGTTACACCTACTACAAAGGTGACATTTTGCCAAGACAAATATTTCAAGATTCTAGGACTGTTTGTCTCAAAAGTCCTAGATAATCATGCAATTGTGCAGAAAAACTAAAAGTAAGAGAAAATAGCGCTCTAGGGACAAATAATACTGAAGATGTGAATGCACCTCTTGTTTGCGACGCATTCCGCATTCTTGGGGGCCTTTTGCCACAGATGAAACAATCCATGCATAGCTGAATTCCAAATGTAATTTAGAGGAACTTGACAGAAAATTCCCAGGGAAGACCCAGTAAAGATTTTCTGGCCACCAGATCTACATTAGATCAACTACTGACTCAGAGGGTGGAGTCTGCCATTTTATTATAATAGGCCATGCACCCACCCAGTACAATATTATCTTAAATATTTTGGATTCACTAACCTGAGACTCCTCACATGAAAAGCAAATGTTTCTAGACCAACAAATCTAAACAGTACACATTATATTACAATTATGCATATGTAATAAAATATAATAATATAATATTTGTATTATATTATTGTTGCAATGGCTGTTTTTTTTCTACAAATGTAATTAACTTTTTATTAGCAGAAGCTTTACTTAAATCTTATCTGTGAGTAAAATACTTTTTTTTTTTTACTCAAATCAGAATTTAATTTCCACTGAATTATTTGATAAGTATACAGTAATGATTATAAATGAAAGTAAATGATTAGATCTGATCACTTATATTGTATTGACAACCATAAATAATTGTAAACTCTGTACATACTGTACTTTCAACATTAGTTTGTTATTTTTCAAGGTAGTTACTTGTAGCCCGTGTAACCGTCTTCTTTTAAGAACAAAACGTCTCGGTTACGTATGGTAACCCTCGTTCCGAACCAATCGTGCAACCTTGAGGGCTCGGGACACGGTGGAAGTCTCCACTCGAGCCCTACCCCTACAGCGGCCCGGTAAAGCATAGCCATTATTTCTGGATCCGATTCAGGCATTGCTACAGTCCCGGAGGAGAGCAGCGCAGCCGAATCTTCCTCTCCAGAAAGCTCTGGCTCACCCTCCGAGATGATCATCTTCCCGCAATGAGAAGATGACTCATCCACAAACGCCACCTCAGCGTGCTACATGCCCAGGCACGTGAGGCAGCGATCGTGACCATCACCCAGCGCCAGGTAACGACCGCATCCAGAAACGCCCGGGTGATACGTTGTCTATAGCAAGACCCACATCGTCTTTACAAAGACGTAACGTCAAGTTTGCCACGCAACGTCGTCTTTAAAAAGACGCACCCGAAATTGCTCTTTTAGCGAAAAAGCTCTTTTAGCGTGCCGAGGCGCACAGGGGAGATGATCATCTGCAACACAAACGGGGTAGTGCAGCCTGATGTGTGCAACCCACTCGACACGGGAAACCACCACCGCCGAAGCGCCGTACCGCCAACACGAAGAGCTCTCCAAGAGCGCGCTGAACTCGTTCAGTCTTCTTCTCTCAGTAGAGTAGTCAGGAGCAGAACGATGTGATCGCTCGGCTCCGAAGCGAAAAGCTGAATATGCGCTGCATCTGCTGCCTACTTATACTCACGCTGTGATCAGCGGCAGCTGGATGCAATAATCGCATGCCAATGTGCATTGGCTCGTTTAGTTTACACTCGAAGTAGATTGGTCTCTCTAAGCGAGATCCCAATTCGTCGGTCATCCGACGTGACGTCGAGAGTGACCGACTGAAAGGGAACCAAGTCTCTTAATAATAACACACTCTCAAAAAGAACAGCCATAAACTCTACCTTTTAAGGTGCAAATGGCCATCACTGTTGTGGTAATTCTAGGCAAAAGAACAAAATAGTACCCTATAACTTTGAACCACTTAAGAGGCCGTTTTGCACCCTAAGGGTATGGAAATTACTGTATAACATGGAATGTCATGGAGGTTGGCAAATTTTGGATGATTAAATCAAAAGTAGGGCTTTTATTAATTAATCAAATCGTGATATGAACTAGTGTCTGTGAATACTGAAACGCAAAAAGACTGCTATTGAGAAGTCTGCATGTTCTGGGTTTCTGTATGAATGATCGTCTACCACACACAAAATAAACACTATACGAGACACACCACATGAACTGCTCTGAGTTTGCTTTACAAGCATTTCACCATTTCACCTGATAAAAACAATTGTCACATGATATACACAGACACTCAAAGGTCTTCACGACAAACAGTCAAAATAAGAGTTCGGTTTAACTTGAAGAAATAATACATTAAAATGTACTTCTCAAAATAATAATAATAATAAAAACATATTTTATTTTTAATTAATTATTTCTTCCATGTTTTAATTTTAAGAGTAAACTTCTGTTCTGCGGCACTTCGTTTGGCAAAAAATTTAAAATTGTACATTTTTTATTTGATTACATTTTAAAGGTGCCATAGAATGGAAAACTGTTTTTACCTTGGCATAGTTGAATAATAACAGTTATGTACATGGAAATGACATACCGTGAGCCTCAAACACCATTGTTTCCTCCTTTTTATGTAAATCTCGAGAATGCAAAAGACCACTGAAAAATAGGCGAATCAGAACATAACACCGACTGTGACGTTACAGTCGGATCACTAATAGTTACGCCCCCAACATTTGTATATACCCACCCATGTTCTATGCTAGCCGTCAGCCGAACCTGCACAGTCGATTCATCAGAAGTTCTGCAGGTATTGTGAAGAAACAAGTGAGGATACATAAGATTTCACTTACCACATAAACAAGAGAAGAGTAAGGAGAGATGACCAAGGATGATGGCAAATGATTTACAGATCCTGAGCACCACTGACAAGCATCTGATCTTGTAAAATGTGTGGTAAGTACTGCCGCTGTAGTTTACACAGAGCACGTGCAGTCGCAAACCTTGTAAGTGAAAGTAAAAAGTGATCATGCATTCGCATATCCCCGCATATTAATAGCGGCTCCCAAATGCCCGCATTTTATATACAGTATAATTACCCAATGATATAACTGCGAAAGAAAGTATTAAGTTATATAAAGTAAGTATAAAGTATAGAAGTTTCCTTCCTGCTGTGTGAGCTACTGAAATGAGCCGCACTGTGAAACAGCCAATCAGAGCAGAGCTCAACATTATTATTCATGACCCTTCCAAAACAGACCATTTCATTCTAGGGACAAATCCTAGGGTTGTAAATGGACATGTAAAACCGTTTCTGGAGATTTTTTGCCCTTACCTAAGCCACATACCTTTTATGTAGATATCAGAGAACAATTTAAAATATTGTATCAATGCATTCTATGGCACCTTTAAAAGTTTATTTTTATGACTTCATTTGATTACCATTTTGATAATACATTTTTATTAAATCCAGAAAAAGTAAAACAGATAAAATTGAATTGCTATTAAAAGAAAAAAGGGGACCTATTATTATAAATGTAAATTATTAAGTTGTTAAGTTTTATTAATTTATTTGATTAGGCAAGCTTTTTTCATTTAAATTTAATTAAACCATTATTGGAATCCAGAAAAAAATGCATCTGGGAACAAAAAAATTAATTTGAGAAAAACTAAAACAGATTTCATAGGATCCTAAAAATGTAGGTTTTGTTAAACTTTTAATATATTGTTTTATGATTTCAATTAAATGCTTTTTGTGTTGTATTATTAAAAAGTGCATATTTACAGATGGGGACCATGTGCACCAATAAAACTGTCATATTCATTACTTTCACCCACATTAAACTTGAAACTCTGATATGATTGTAACATATGACAACAATCTGTCATTAATCACTCACTTCTCTAAGTAAGAAAAAAAAATCTCTTCACTCACAGCACAAAAAAAACAAAAAAACATTCCTGCTTCTAACTGGTGAGCATGGAGCAAAATAAAGCCTAAATATGAAGCTCAGCAAAACTATTGAAATGTAGAAACATGCAGTGACAATCATGTTGAGTTTGGGCAGAGATGAAATTCTAGTAAGCATGCATAATCACTGTTATAATTGTGAGGTGGTCCTTGGAAAATGTTCTCACTTGTAAGGGGTCCCGTGGCATCATCCCAGTTAGTAGAGCAATTTTATTTATAAATCTCCATTTTTACAATTAGAAGTATTTGAAATTCATAAATTACAGCAGGTGTTGGTCAACAAGTATGTGTGGTGTGTCTGTGTGTGTATATACAATCAAGCGTAGCGTTAGTTCTGGCAGGTCACGTTAGTCAAACTCGCATCAGCTGACTCTCAGGTGATCCCCATCTACCCATAGGAATACAACACCTATCTAAGCATTCATATATAAGGTCCCTCAGTATTATCAGCAGTTTTTGTATTGCTCAATA